GGGTCGCAGCTCGCCTCAGGAAGGTTGAAGTGCACTCTTCAATCTTCTCTCTTGTCTCTGCTCCAAACCATCAGCTAATTTGCTAAGGTTCTGTCCTTTCAGCCTCCTTCTGGACGGGAGCTTCTGTAAAAAGCTGGCTGCAGTTCGCCATCTTGGCTCCGCCCCCTCGAGAACTGCTTATCAAAGTTTGCATTGTTGTCAGGCTCCACCCCCGAGGCCCTGCCCCCCCCCAAGGGTGTCCCACTTCACCAATGTTAAAATCTGGTCACCTTAGTCAAAGGCAACTCCTGAGCCAAGCTCAGCCCTCCTGGCCCTGGCCCTGCAAGTGGGTCCACAACCCACCCTCCCATGCCCTCCCCCACACACCCGCTCCCCAACTACAAGACTGTGCCCAGAGCACAGCTGTGCCAGAAGGCCACTGCAGTGGCCCTTAGGCTGGCAGGGGCCAGCTGGGTCCAGAATGTACATATGGGCAGTGGCCCAGTCACCTGTCTATGGCCTTCCCCAGCCCTCCTTCAAGGGCCAGGTCTGCCCAAATGGGAACCTGCATCCATAGACGGGGATGTGGTCTAAGGCATCCCCTGAGCCAAGCTCAGCCCCCCTGGCACTGGCCCTGGCCCTGCAAGGGGCTCCATGCCCCACCCTCCTGTGGCCTCCCCCATACACCCTGATTCCCAAGTACAAGATGGTGCCTGGCACCCTTCAGTCACCTCCTCAGCCTCTATGGAGAGCTGGGCTCCTGGGGTGGAGTGGGGGTTTCCTGATATACACCCTCACCAGCACACCCTATCTGGACCTCTCATGGCCTGAGGACAGCCGTACCACTAAACAGTGGGCCTGGAGAGGGCACGGAGCCCCAAGGTCTGGCAGGGCAGGGTCAAAGCCCACATCTCCAGGACCTCGCCTCCATCACATACCCCTGCTGGGCTGAGTCTGCCTCAGCCCTCTGTCACTCTCTCCCTTACCATTTCCAGCAGGCACTGGCCACCTTGGTCCTCCTCAAGAGTTGACCATGGTGCCACATGTGACACAGAGCCTTGGCTCTGAGAGCAGCGGGTGCATGCAGAGAAATTGTGTAACTCCATTTTGCAATGCCCGGTAGACATGTGACTCCCAGAGGACATCAGAGACACCCAGCCTAGCCCCAGCAGGGTGCTGGCCACAGATCTCTGCCTGGGAGCAGGTGGGAGGGGACGACCAGGCCCAGAGCTCTGCAGGCTCCACCCTGAGGAGCAGAGGCTCCCACAGGCACTGAGGACACTGCAGGCACAGACTAGAAAGAGGTTGAGTGCTCATGGCCACTGTATCCCCATACGGATGGAGGCTGTGAAGATGGGACGCATGTGCTTCTACTCTCCTTCTTGGAGCATTTATAATGATATTGACTTTGATTCATTTTTTCCCTTGATTACAGAAAGAACACACATTCACATCCAGATAGTACTGACTGCCAGTAACCATGTGCCCTACTTCCTTCAGCTGTCTCTAGGGCCCAGGCCATGGAGCTTGCCTGCCTGGGCTGGAATCCCAGTGACTATGCCAACAAGCTGTGTGACTGTCAGCAAGTCCCTGCACTTCCTATGCCCACTGTTCTTATCTGGAGGAGAGGAGTGGTGACACACCCCACCTGCTGAGAGACAAGCTCAATGGTTCAGCCCAGTGCCTGGCCCCAGTTAGCTCTCACAGGGGGCTCCCCTAGGCACCACACCCTCCAGCACATTTGGCCATTGGCCAATGACTGGTCGGCATGGGGCCATTAGTACCACATTAGTGACACACACATTCAACGAACACACATTAAATGACAGACTCACACACACACTGGACACATTCAGTAGCACACTCACATGCTCACAAAACATCCCACATTCATACACTTTCAGTGGCACACAGATATTCAATGCCATACTCCTATGCTCACAGTGACACACATTCGCACCCATTAAATGACACAATTCAATAACACACACTGACACATTCAGTGGCACATTAAATGATAAACTCACACATTCAGTGACATGCTCCCACATTCATACCCTTCAGTGGCACACGCACACACTCAGTGACACACTCATAGGCTCATGGTGACACACATATTCACATTCATGCACATTAAATGACACACTGACACACACTCAATCACACAGACCCAATGATAAAGTCACCTTCACACACACTCAATGAGATGTGCACACTCAGTGACATACACACTCGATGACACAAACTCACACAAATGCTCACATGCACTCACACGCTCTTGCACACGTTCACCCCACGCTCACTGCACCTGCATCCATATGCTCACGCTGATGCCCACACACACATTCACACTTCCATACCCACTCAAACACTCCCACACTTACACCGACACCTGCTCAGGGGTCACAGCACGTGAGGTCACTCTGAATAGGGAGACGCAAGGAGGCTCCTACACTCCTGCAGCCCTGTCGTCTGCAGCCCTTGCCCTGTGGCCAGGTCATCCAGATGCAGGGCTCCTACGGACCACTCTGGCTGCCACAAATTCTTGTCCTGGCTGTTTGTCTGCCTTGGGCACTGTCCTTAATCTGTGCTGTGAAGATAGTCAGAGGTTCTGTCCCTTCAGAACTCCCAGGGGTCTCCTGTAGGCACAGACTTAGTGAACCCAAGGGCACTCATCATTTCCGGGTCAGTGATCCCGTCCCCTCTGTGCACATAGACAGGGAGAGGCCAACCCCTCATCCTGGTCCTGTTTCCAGAACACTCTGAGCCTGTGGAACTGCTGATGGGAGGCTGCCCTTGATTTGGGCATGCCTACCTGTAGGGGACAGGCTGAGACATGGGGGGGTTTAGGAGAGCAGATTCCAGGCCCCTCACCCCTGATGAGGAAGTCCCCTCCAACAACTGGCCCTCCTGAGAACTGCCCTTGTGGACATGGAGCTCAGGGCAGAGATATCCGAGATGCACAGGGTCGTCCACGTCCTCACGGGGCGGGGCTGTGGTCAGGCATTTTGGGGGCTCAGCCAGCTACAGGGACCCAGGGCAGGAAGGGTTCCCTCCACAGTCTCCCCTTCTAGCCCAAACCTGCCCTCAGGATGCAGGAGTGATGGCAGCACCAGGAGGCTGGGAGGCGCAGCACAGGACTTGGTGGAGGGCAGCCTTCCCCATCCTTCCTGTCACCCAGGCCAAGGCCTGAGCACTGTGGAATCCACATCCAGGCTATACTCTGCCCCTCAACAATCACTCAAACTCTGTCCCCAAGTATACTTCAGGGGCTAGGCCAGGGGGCACCACTTGTCATCTTGCAGGGGTGGGTGGAACCAGGTGGGTGGACAGACCTGGCACACAGCTCTGGACAGGGTGTCTGACCTCTTGTCCAGGGCCTTTGGGCCCTTCCCCTGACCTTCACTGCCAGCCTGGGGTCACACATGTGGCCTCTGTTTCCTGTCTGGATGCCCTGAGCCCCCACAATGCTGCCAAGCAGGGATCCAGGGACCTCACTGACTCTCCTTTCCACATGTGATCCACTCATGCTTGGGGGTCCCTATGGGCCCTGGGAACCCAACCACACACTGGCCACACCCAGCAGATCCCCATTGCTTGCCTCCAGCCAGCCAGGGCACCCCACAGGCACTCACAAATACTGTCCGCAGTGCACCTCCATGATGGCCTTTCCCTCCCATCCCCATGCCCTCCTCAGTCAATACGTCCACAGTGGCACACAGAGGGGAGACTCAGCTGGAACATTTAATGAAATTTATTGAACAGAAACATTCAGTGCAACCACTGTAGAGATGGGAACAGCAACAGAGAGCAACTGCTAACCAGCACTAGAGGCCACAGGTCCTGGGCCCCACGATCTGCCCTTTGCCAGGACGCTGGACTTTGGCAACAGCCACTCACTTCAGGGAAGCCCCTTGGGGCCTATCCACTGAGGCATGGCCCTGTCCCATGGCCCACACAGGACAGTCATAGGATAATACCAGGAATAACAGCAGGACACACCCCACCAAGTTGAGGAAATTGAATCACAAGGGATGACAAGGGTGGGACACCAAAGCACAGTTCCCAGGAAGCCCCTCACAGCTCCCCTTCTGACCCTGGTCCAGCTCTTCTCCCTGCTGTATGGGGGTGCACATTCCCGCCGCCTCCTGGGACTGTGCTGGGGGTTTCCAGAGTGGAGCTGCTCAGGTAAGAACACACATCTGCGCAAGGTTGGGCAGCAGTCAGCCTACATCTACACTGAGGAAGCAGAGGCTGAGCTCAGAACACAGGATGGCAGAGAGAAGAGCCTGGAATAGCACTGAAGCCCATAGCATGTACCTCGGGGCTAGCACACACACACAGCAGCTTTGCACATGAATGGTTGCTGGTGGCTGGTGGAAGGGGGCAGGTGTACTGGACACTTGGGTCACTACTGAGCCTGCACGGATGGGGGGGGGCTTTGCACAGGACTCAGGCTGCCCTAGGACAGTGAATGGGGGGGCACCTCTGAGATGGCCTCTCTCCCAAAAGCCTCCCAGTCCACTTCTGGTGGTAGACATCTTCAGGTGCCCTCACCCAGGCCAGAGCTGGCCACTCAGAGGGGCTTTCAGGCCAGCTGCCCGAGTTGGTGGGGTTTGGGGCTAGGCCCAGGTGCAGTGGTGTCATGGCAGGGGCACCTCTCCCCTCCCCACTCAGCAGTAAAGTTGGTCATTTGGAGCACTGGGAATGTCTTGGGTAATGGATGGAGCTCCTTGAGGGAGATGGAAGGTCTGGGAAGCCCATGTGGGGTGGGGTGGTGGCTATGGATGCTGCTGCCTGAGAAGGCAGGAGAGGAGCCCCCTCCACGGGCTTTCTGAGCCTATTCGCCTGAGGACTCAGGGTGGCTCATGTCCCTAGCCCTGTCCTGTTTTCCCTACTCCTCTGGGATGGGTTTCAGCCCCTCCAGCAGGGGCTCTGGGGCCTCCTGTTCTGCTGCCTGGGCACGGCTGTCAGGCACCCAGCCAGGACCTCCTGGGCTCGCCCCAGGTGCACTGCCCATCTGGGCTAGGGAGGGGCCCCCAGGGGCCTCAGTAGGCACTGCCTGACCTAGCCCCACAGGTTCAGAGACACTTTCCTCTTCCTGGGGGACAGAGGAGGCCGCCATGGCCCCTGCAGGGGAAGGGGAGGCCCCAGCTGCAACACTGCTGATGGGGACAAGCTCAGCAGGGGCGTCAGGAACAGCCTGGCTGGCACCTCCAGGGGCTGGGGGGACCTCCGCAGTGCCTCCCAGGACAGGGACAACCTGGGCAAGAGCCAGGTCTCCACCGTCTCCAAGGGGCCCTTCCTGTCCTCTGCACAGCTCCCTCAGAGGCAGAGCGGCCTCCCAGGCCTCCGTTTCCCGCACCAACCGGAGCAGGCCCAGGAAGCCAGGCAGCTGCCTCTCCAGCCACATCCTCCGCAGCTTGTCCTGCAGTGTGGCGTTGGGCCTGGCCTGCAGCAGCACCTGCCCAGCACGCATCTGGTCTGCCATGGCTGGGTGGACGGCTCCCTGCTCCATGGCCACGTGCAGCAGGCCTTCCAGGCGCATCACATAAGCGAACAGACTCTCCCGGGGCTGCTGCGAGCACGTCAGCAACTTCAGCCTCGCTGTCACCCGGGTGTCATTGTTCCCGAACACCTGCTCCAGCGCGTCCAGGCAGTCCTGCGCAGGGGTGTCCGGATGTTCTGCCAGGAGGCCGCACATGAGGTCCAGGGCCGGGCCGCCCAAGCTCTCCACCAGCCGCCGCCGCCTCTCACGTTCTGACGTGTGGCGCCACAGGTATAGCATGTCCTTGGCGTGGTCCAGCCAGCTCTCAAAGGACTCTTCCCCACAGCCTGGCTGCTCTCTTCCAGAAAAGGCTCGTAGTTCTTGGCAGGCCAGACTTCTCAGCAGAGGCTTCAGGGACTCACTCCATTGACGGGACCAGGCATCTGCCTCCCCTGCAGCTCCTGCCACATCCAAGACTCCTGCCTCACCTGCAGCCCCCACCTCACCTGCAGCTTCCTCTCCACCTGCAGCTTCTGCTCCACCTGCAGCCGCC